GGAACGCTTACTCCCACCTAGTTCTACCCGTGTCACGCGTGCGAGTCAGGAGGTGAGGCTGAGGAGCCTGCCGAGAGAGGCCCAGAAGGAAAAAAACAAGAAACCGGGCCTTCTCGGCAGTGGCTCCTTGCCTCTGGAACAATCTGCCTCCGGAGATACATGCGGCTCCCTCGCTGGGTACATTTAAAAATCAATTAAAAATGTGGATGTTTAGGCAGGCCTTCCCCCCCAGTTAATTCCTGATTCTCTCCCCTCCTCTCTCTATATGATTTATTTCATATGTTTTCCCTCTTGTAGAATTGTTTAATTGTGTTATAATTTTTTCTTATATTTGTGTTGTATTGTATGTTGTAAGCCGCCTAGAGTGATCGTAATGACCAGATAGGCGAGGTATGAATGAATGAATGAATGAATGAATGAATGAATGAATGAATGAATGAATAAATAAATAAATAAATAAATAAATAAATAAATAAATAAAATAAAGTATCCTTCTGTTCCTAGAAGCAAGAAGAGTTTGCACATAACACTGTAAACCCAGAGATTGTGTGTATTCCTAGTTAAGAAAAAAAGTCTCCCTGCCTTGTGTGGTCTCTGTGGCTGCAATTCTGTATTCTGCCAGCTTGGCAAAGGCTTGGCATTGGCTCACTCACAATGCAAATGGAGGCCTGAATAGGGTTCAAGTTGAAGGGATGGTTCATGCTCTTACTGTTCAACAGCTAATCTAATTAACGAGCCGGCTACTATTTCATCAGCCAACCAGGAACTACACTGGGATGAAGAAGCAGCTGCCAATGGAATACAGCTTTTCCTGAATTACAAGAAACCTTTCAGATTTCTTATGCATTTTTACATTGTCACTCTCGAATTGGCCTTCTCAGCCACACTAGATGCTGTTCAAAGTCCTCCATACAGAGCACGATACCATAGTCTCTCAAGACTGAAGGGTGCCTAATCTAAAAAAAGAGGGAACAGAAGTCAACAATGAGTTTGTCAACCAGTAACACCTAGACTCACTTTCTGCTTTACAGTGGATTTGCCAAGGGTGAAGAAGACCAGATGCTACCATAAAATAAAGTATTGTGCCGGATTAAATCAGTGGCCTATCTAGTCTATCATTCTATTCCTACGCAGGCATGAATGGAAGGGGACATGCAGGATGTGAGGGTAGTTACACTCATTTTACTTTGTGTAGGCTATTTACTTCACTGTCTTGAACATCCTCTTAGAATGCCAGCTGAAATGCAGTCTCTACTCCATGCAGTTCTGCTTGTCTCCCCTTCTAATAGTTAAGGAACTGAGATAATAGCGTGACCCAAGTAGCTTACAAGATGTTCCAACTTCCACAAACAGTTCCTGGTTCCTGGGAAATGCAGCACAAAACCTGCAGCATACTGGTCACTTGGGAGCAGGAAGCCTCCATGATCACTGGATCAGAATCTGGATTTGTGTAATCAAGTAATTAAAAGGTTCTTAACAGAAAATTTCAACTGGACTGTCCAACTGATAGATCATGGTGTGCTTTACCAATACTTCTAAGAAACTGATAGGTAAAGGTAAAGGTTCCCTTTGACAATTTGTCCAGTCGTGTCCGAATCTAGGGGGTGGTGCTCTTCCCTGTTTCCAACCCATAGAGCTAGCATTTGTCCAAAGACAATCTTCTGTGGTCACGTGGCTAGCGCGACTAGACATGGAACGCTGTTACCTTCCGACCGTGGTGGTACCTATTTATCTACTCGCATTTTGCATGCTTTCGAATTGCTAGGTTGATGGGAGCTGGGACAAGATACAGGGGCTCACTCCGTTGCGTGGATTCAACCTTACAACTGCAGGTCTTCTGACCTTGCAGCACAGAGGCTTCTGCCATTTAACCTGCAGCACCACCACATCCCTCAAGAAACTGATAAATAGTTGTAAACTCTTGCAGCTCATTTGTAGGCACACCCTTCTGGTTACATGAAAAATGTCAAGGTTTACAGCTGTTTGAAATCAAAACTTTGTGTCTTTTGATCTCTGACTATCTGTAGAAAAATGCAAGTCTGCCAAGAGAAACAAGATATACTGTATAAGGATAAACCAAAGGGCAAATCAGGTAATTTGATACATGCTTCCCTTCAAGATACTAAGGTTTTCCTTCCTTTTTGCCTCTAACAGAGCCTTTCAGCTTTTTGCAGTTGCATGACCTGCAGAAATTGAGTGGATGAAGATTCTATCAGTCAAAATCTAGAAGGGTTGCTTTCCCCAACTACAGCTTCCAAAGGCCATTCTGGAAGACCTACAGCTGAAACAAACAACGTTCTCAATTCTGCTCCTAGCATGCAGGTACAAGACCTGGAAAGAGCTTCACCGACTGGCTGTCGGCTTTTCTTGTAGCTCTTAAAGACACAAGAGACCTACCATGAAAAACGAAACAGCAAGGTTGACACCAAGACAACCTCTGGAGAGTACTATTTCAATAAATTACCAATCATATGCACTTTTCACATCAGAGCCTGCCTGGATAGAAACATACAAAAGTGCAATGTAACAAATACAGTTCCCAACAAAATTGTTTAAGTCTGATGTGTGTGCACTGAGGTACCTTACAGGTCTGAGTCTCTGTCACTTTCTACTTAGCACTAGAATTAAAATTCCAAGCAGAAACATTTTCCATAAAAAGAAATTCCAAATCAGATTGACCAATAATGTTATTCTGAATATTAGTGCTCTAAGTAATTGAAACTAACCACTTTCCCATTGTAAAGTTTATTGCACACAGTCTCTTGTTAGGGAAATATTTGCTTTTGAAGGGAATGCCCTTTCCTTGGATCTCCTTGGAAGCTCACTATAGTTATAAAGGTTCCTTCTTTCAAGGCTTAGCCTATTATTTAGAGGGACAAGATGCAGCAATATCTCCAGTGAAATGATAGAGAAAGGTAAAGGTCCATAACCCTCAAAGACCACTGCATGACAGATCTCCATGTGCAACAATTCTTTTACTGAAGCAAAACAACCCCAACAATAGATAAGCACCTCTTAAAATAATCTAGAATAAGTCTAGAATAAGTCTAGAACTCTGACCTAATGCTTTGGAGTGGGGAGGAATTACTAGAGATAAGATGTGAGAAAAGATGAGAGATGCTATAGATGGTTCTAGTTATTCCACCTTTGCCTGCCTGTTTCTGTTTCAACAGTCCTATAACCATAGTTATTTCCCAGATAGATAGCCTTTTATCATTTGTTGTTGTGTAGATGTTTAGTCATTTATTTGTGTCCGACTCTTCGTGACCCCATGGACCAGAGTATGCCAGGCCCTCCTGTCTTCCACTGCCTCCCGGAGTTGGGTCAAATTCATGTTGGTAGCTTCAATGACACTGTCCAACCATCTCATCCTCTGTCGTCCCCTTCTCCTCTTGCCTTTTATCATATTTATCCATTAAAATAATACCTAATTGACTAAACATATAAGTTTTAACAACCAATTTAGTATAGCTATGCACAAACTCTGAGCTGGTGGATTAGGGAGTTTGATTCCCCACTGTGCTTTCAGGGAGAGCAGCCAGCCTGTGTGGCCGTGGGCAAGCCGCACAATCCCAGGATGCCCCCATTAGGAAGGAATGGTAATCTACCTTTGAGTACTCTCTGCCTAGAAAACTTTGGAAAGGGTCACCATAAGCCAGAATTGACTTGATGATGATGATAATGATGCACTAAGTTCAATCAATCTAAAAGTTTACCTCATTCTTACAGCTTTGGTTCCCTCTACATCAAAACTCAGAAAGGGTCTCTACCAAGGTCCTCTCTAAAGTGTGCACCTGCACACGTGCACAAAACTCCACCTCTGTTGCACAGGGCACCTTCTCCTCCACATACCCACAGCAATAGTTTTCAGCCCCATTGGTTTTGTTCACAACAGAACCGGGGGGGGGGGGGNTGCACAAGCGAGGGTGAAGTCATGCATGTGAGGAGCTGAACCTCGCCCAGCAGGGCTGAAAATTAGAGGGAATGTTGGTCTCTACCATCTCATCTTCTTTGTACTTACAGCAAAAGCTAATTTGACAAATTATCTTACATTTTTCTCATGACCACTGCAAGAAACATAGCTGAATTCCATTTCACATATAATCTGTCCACTGACCTTTAGTTCACATTTGTTGAATCAAACCATTAAAAAAAGATCCCTGGCATTACTTTTAACAATTACCTGATAAGCAGAAACTCAGCAGGTAGTGCTGTTTTGATAACAGAGTTTCTCTTCTAAGGAAAGCTTTCTCTGTGCGATTTTTAATTGCCATGCAACTGACCAAAGCCACAGCACATTACCTAGATCTAAAGATCTAATCCAGGTGCAACTCTTCCTCCTTTGTAAAGTCTCATACACACAGCTCCACACTAACCTCTGTACATGCCAAAATATCCCTCCGACCGGATTGTTTTAATGAGGCAGTCAGACCTGTTGAAAAGACAGAGGGAGAGAAAGAGAATGATCAGAATATCAGCAGCTACTAAAACATCCTCCTTAAGGACAATTTTAGTAGTTTTAGCTTCCTGAAGCCAGGACATAACTCTTCAAGAGGAATTTGGCAGGATGGTGGTGGCGGCACGAAAAACACTACACTATAAATTGTACCACAAGCCATTGCAAAGAATGCTTAATGGCTTAAACAGCAGCCCTTCTTTCTGCCCTAATCACCTTGCACTAGATTAGAAAACCAGCCAATTCATACATTTCACCAGTCCTCATTACAAAGGCAGTCAGAAATCAGATACTATTCTATTTTATGCTCATGAAAGAATTTCTCTAAGCTTTTTAAATAGTTTCTATTTGGAAGCCAGGGTATTATATAAGCCTTTTTAAAAAGAAAGCCCAGGTGCTGCAAAGAATAACACCATTTATCTCCAGAGAAACATTACAAGATGCTTCACAAGAAACATCAGCATCTCCCTTGGGAATCACCCTTAGCTAGGTAAAAATAAGCCATAAGCAAGCTGCTTTCCTGAGCTGTACGTTTGTTTGGCATTGTACATTTTGGGCCCTACGTTCTTTGCATGTGCCACATTAAAACTAGACATGCTTTTAATATGTGACTTAATCTGTTAGGAATCATGAAGTATGGAAAGTCTTGTTATGAGGGGTGAAGTGTTTCAGTTGTTAAAGTCCCTACACTGTACACATAAGGTTCAGCTCTAAGCCATTTATACATCAGACTGGACCAGCTGTACGTTTTCCTCTTCTGGCTTAGATTATATAGTTGCAGCTACAAAATATCAATGACACACACTCATCAAATGCCAGATTTTGTAGGTGGAGAATTGCAAAAATCTACTTTGGAGCTATTTTGAGGACCAGCATGAGAAATGCTACAAGGCAGTCCACTCAAAAGTGCTGTGCAAATGACAAAAAAAAATAAGCAAAAAAACAAATAAAAACAAACCCCAAAGCCCCTGCTATTATACAATTTGTTTTTATTACCATGGAATACTCACATGCTGGTGTACATTCGCTGGCCATTCTGCTGGTTTTGCAGGCGAGTTTTTGCCAGATCAATAGGAAACACACAAGTGACCCCAATTAGCCCAGCTATCCCTCCATTGATCAGCTTTGCAGGTAAACTTAAGAGGAAAAAAAAAACAAAATAAAGAGGCATAATGTTAATACAATGTCAACATTCAAAAGCAGAAATAAATACAGTCATACCAAACAACAATGTGGATGAGACAGACGAATACTTAAAACAGTCTTATGGCACTTCAAAGATTGATTTATTGTGACATATGTCCTCATGAACTAGCATGCATTCACAGATTCATTCATTCATTCATTCATTCATTCATTCATTCATTCATTCATTCATTCATTCATTCATTCATTCATTTGTCACCTTTCTCTCCATATGAGACTCAAAATTATTTATAGTCAACTAGAATTTTATTTATTTTATTTATGTGTTTTATCTATATGTAACCATCCCCCCCCAAATACTTAAAACAGTCTTATGGCAATTCAAAGACTGATTTATTGTGACATATGCCCTCATGAACTAGCATGCATGCACACATTCATTCATTCATTCATTCAGAATACTTAAAACAGTCTTATGGCACTTCAAAGATTGATTTATTGTGACATATGTCCTCATGAACTAGCATGCATTCACAGATTCATTCATTCATTCATTCATTCATTCATTCATTCATTCATTCATTCATTCATTCATTCATTCATTCATTTGTCACCTTTCTCTCCATATGAGACTCAAAATTATTTATAGTCAACTAGAATTTTATTTATTTTATTTATTTGTTTTATCTATATGCAACCATTCCCCCCCCCAAAAAAAAATAAGGGGACACAAAATCAGAGAACAATTGCTACTAAAATATTAAACAGACTTAAAAACACAATTAAATAGGTAACAATATTTTAAAAACATTAAAAGCATTTTTAAAACCTATAAAAACCTTGCAAACCTGGCTTTTCAGGGCAGTGCATATCCCCCTCTAGTAGAAGTAATGACCTGGTTTCCCAAAGTATATATCATTTAAAACACCACAACACAGTTCTGCTGCAACACCCTAAACCTGACCAAACTCCTGGAATGTGTTCTTCCCACTTTTTAAAGTGGCCTTCGGTCACCTGTTTCCTCAGTGTGACTTGACTGGTCACAGTCACTATTTTATATATGACTGATTATTTCCCTTATTTTTCAGGAACTTCTCAGGTGTGATGTGAAGAATAATTAGGTCTGTCCTCCTACAAACCTAGATTCTCACCTTTATTTTCATAAGATTTAAGGGCCTTCCATTAAGACAATGGAGAATAAGGTTCAGAACTCAATTTCACTTCACGTTATACATACATGTATGTATACATGGAGGATCTCTAAATCCTTCACTATTGCTTAAAGACCAGCTTGAAAATATAGGTCTTAGTCTGTCAACCGAAGAACAAGAGGGAGGGGCAAACCTGGCTTTTCAGGGCAGTGCATATCCCCGTCTAGTAGAAGTAATGACCTGGATTCCCAAAATGTATATCATTTAAAGCACCACAACATAGTTCTGCTGCAACACCCTAAACCTGACCAAACTCCTGGAATGTGTTCTTCCCACTTTTTAAAGTGGCCTTCGGTCACCTGTTTCCTCAGTGTGACTTGACTGGTCACAGTCACTATTTTATATATGACTGATTATTTCCCTTATTTTTCAGGAACTTCTCAGGTGTGACGTGAAGAATAATTAGGTCTTCCTACAAACCTAGATTCTCACCTTTATTTTCATAAGATTTAAGGGCCTTCCATTAAGACAATGGAGAATAAGGTTCAGAACTCAATTTCACGAGCATTTACAAAGACTTGAGTAGTTCAGTAGGAGTTGCACCCAAGTATACATGCATATGACTCCAGTCCTAAAATCTACCAAAGAACTCCATGTTCACAGAAAAGATATTCATGAAAATTTTGGGAATCACAGAATTGTAATGAAACTCAAATCCCGTGGCACTTATTCAGCAGTCTCTGCTCTATACATCACTACTGAGCTCATAAAGAGATCGTCAAAATCAGAAAGCCCATCTCTGAAACGTATGAAGAAGGAAAACTCACAAAACCCCACTGATTGCGGTATCCAGTCTTGAATACTATGTTCTGTGTTGTGCCTGGCACAGAGCCTTCATCAAAATATTTACCAGAGAATAAATATAAGGGGTGGGGGGGGGGGAAAGGGAGGAGAAACAAGCCTGAAGCCTTGGTCAGTTGGCTAAAGAACTCTGAGGATTTTTAAAATATGTCAGGGATTTGACAGTTGGTGAAGGAGGCGGTGCTCTGGACCAAAGAAGCAGGGCAGGCAAACAAAAGCAACCAAAATATAGTTCAAAGAGAAAGCTTTACAAAAATCAAGCTTGGAAATGTGGTAGATTACAAAAACATCCCAGAGCCAAATTGATGATTGAAACCCCATTCTTTATCTCGGCTCTCATGAAAGTGACACAGAAATTATCACTAGCAAACTGGTTTAGGAAACTAATCTCTCACTCTCTCTATCTCCTAAACACATACAGAGGTATATACAATATGATTATGGATGAAATCCTCTGGTTTAAGACAGTAAGTCACAACTAGAGTAGCCCACTATATCAGTGGGGATTTCGTGAGTCAACTCCTTCATAAGTTTCACAGATTCAGTGGGCCTACTCTAGTTGTGACTTGTTTTGCTATCTGGCTGCATCAACCCAAAGCCACAAATTAAACTAAACACAAACTGAAAACAAAGCAAGAGACAGTTCCCCTTTAAATTGCCCAGTTCTTAAGTCAATGGCAGAAATCGTTCAAGACACCAATTACGTAATTGGTATTGTACACTTAACCAGTTCTCTGAAATTTCTTCCTGTTTTCGTAGTGTGAGGTTTTTTTTAAATCCCTGTAGTCATAAGGAGACCCAGTAATGGGAGCAATTTCTACCCAAAATCTAAAAGCAACAAAATCACCAACCCCCTGTCATAACAGAACATCTACTGTCTCATCAAAAATTTCTCTACAAAACATGCTCATGAAAGAAAATGAATCTGGGAAGTCTCATGAAAGAGAAGGGGGTCAACCTGGTCACAAGCAGAGCTGAAGCTTCATAAAAGTTTTTATCATGGGGGGTGAGGGGGAAAGCAAACAGAGAATGCTGCCCAGGTTCTCTTGAATGATTAACTAATGCTTGCTCTCCAGGACATTTCAGATTCATACTAGAACAACTTACCTGAGCATTTTATGCTAACTGTGGTAAAATACTCTGTGTCTGTTAAGCTAAACATTCAAGAATGTCTTTGATTTCGTGCTGAAGATTTTAGAAAGATTTCACAATGGACTCCTTTTTTCCATCACAGATTATTAGGGTAACATAAATAAAATAATTACAATTATGCCCTTATATCTCATGGTTAATTATTTACTGGACACCAGAGACAGAATTAAGCACCAAATATTACAGTTTATGTGGACAACTATGGTGACATTGATAGATAGGGGGCAAGGATGGTAACAACATGAAGAAGAGTAATAATATATTTGGGACAGAAATTTCAGTTTGATATTTTGCACCAAAAATACATGTGTGAACTACCAGAAAAACATGATTTGTATGTAACATAGATATGTTTAAGAAAACCTGATTCATTTTTAATAATAACCTTGGCTGAAAGAATCTGTAACTGTGGCATTAATCCAAACAACTTTTTATTCCTTCATTGGCAAAGGTATGTATATATATATATATACTAAGAGCCTGCCCCATCGATTCACCTGACCAAAACTCACTCAACTCTTTCCTGTCCTGTACAGTACTGTATTATTTTCTCTTCTTCCCATTTCTATTACTGATTTTTGCCTGCTGTAGGCATAATGTACTTTGGATAAGCACAGCTTCTTTCACTTTAAGACAGCAAAAGTATATATTTCAGCTTTTTTGCTCAAAAATTCCCTTGTCCTTTCTGGCATGCATGGAGGCCATTTAGCTATGCTTTGAGGAGCTACCAGCAACTCCTAGCCCTGCAAACCCCAAGATAATAATCCAATATCCAACAATGGGACAAGAAACAGGATACTTTGAGGTGAGTGGGAGACATAACAGATGAAGCAAACACACGTGACAACATAGAAATAATTAGATTTGGAGACAACATCTGAGAGAGAAGCCCATAAGAACTTTTCACCTGATCTGTTTATCCGCCATTTAATTCAGATTTGATCTTGTAGAAACTAGATTTCTTCTTCCCAAATGTTCTTCCAGTTTTTAAAATCTTCAGTTATTTATTCCCAACAAGTGGTTTCTAGAAAGAGACAAAAAAAATCCCACCAACATTATTATTTCTAATCACTGTTATAAGCTCTTTGTAAACAGGGGGAATGCTTACAGGCACCTATAGGTATACGCAGGTTTAGATTCATCAAAGGATAGGACATCAAAGGGTGAGAAAGTAAAAATAAAGTGATATCAGGTATTCAAAACTTAAACATACAGAGTGCAATCTTTAAAATTACAACTACTGACTAAGAAAATCCACTCCTATATTTAAATTTAAAATACATTAAAATTCTAGCGCTTATGAAATTTTGTACATACTGAGGGTATAGTATTTGCTTCTTGTGCATCTGGCAGACTGAGCCCTGCAATAATCTCCCCCACCCCATGAACAGGCCACACCACTCACGTTCACTCAGAACAGGTTAGTGTCAGGAAAGAAGGGCACCTGGTTTAACATTTGTTATAAACTAACAACAAAGGCTGAAGGAACCACAGTAACTGAAACCAACACACTGTGACTGGTACAACCGTATGTTTCAGTCCTTCAGATTCCACTCTTGAACCATACGCTCTTTTTGCAATTTCTATAAAAGGCACAAGGGAGTTCTTTCTGTTTCCACTAACAATCTAAAATAGTGTAGAAACATCACTGTGAAACAGAGTTGTGAAATGTTTGCAAAACTGGGAGAAGTTACAAGACTTGGGAGGAGGTGGAACATTTAATTCCAGAGGTTGGGGGTCCAGTTCCACACTTCTGCATCTCGAAACTGCCAGCCTATGTGGCCTTGAGCAAGTTCCGCAGTCCCAGAGCAACCCCAGAAGAAATGAGTAGTAAACTACTTCTGAGTAGTCTCTACCTAGAAAAGTCTAGAAAGGGACACCATAAGAATCAAGTTGTCGGCACACAACAACAACAACAACAACAACAACAACAACATATGGAGCTGGGGCAAAGAACTATGGCAAAAAAGATGTTATCAACTCTGTTACGCAACATAGCATGATTTCATCTAGAAGCATTGTGCCCCAGTCATTATTACACTGATCATGGAAAGAGACTAAGCATAAATTGTTATTATAAAAAACTATGGAGAAAATATCCAGCTCTGAATATATTTAATTTATTTTTTAAAAATGTAAAGTTAGCATTATCTGTCAATATTCAGATTTTAACAAGGATGTAAATGGCTTCCTTTTGTCTATTTTCTGTTATTACCGCTGAATAAATTTTAGAAATTAAAAGAAATAGTTGAGAAATTGACAGAAAACCACCATTTAATTTATAACAGAAGTTAAGCCTATTCATGTTTTAACTTTTTAAGACACAAGCATTTCCAAGCTATTTTCCCCCCTGGTGCCTCCTAGGACACGTTGGCAAGCAGAAAGAATGGTTGAGAAATCACACTCGCCCACGAATCTTATGGGAACTTGCCATTTCACATCTCTGCCATGTTGCTGTGCTCGAACAACAGAAAGCTAGAGACAACATTTTGCAGTTTTAAAAGGGAAGCAGGAATTTCTGCAGAAATTCTTCATGAAACATAGGGAAGGAAAATAAACAAGAGACAAAGGAAAAATAAAGCATCTTGTAAGGTAGCCTTCACTCTGGTGAATTTTCTAATAAACAACAGTACACGGCCACTGTAAAGAAGCAGCAAGAGTAAAAATGGAAGAATTCAAATGTGAACACATTTTATTGATCAGAAAATGGGTGACCGCAGCAAAGACAACACCCAATTTGACTTAATTTAGAGAATATTTTTATTGCCAGGAAGTCCCCAAAATATGAAGTACATTTAGGATGAGGCTTAATCATCCCTCAATAAATGTCCATCTGAAGAACTGTGCATACTAGTCTGCATTCTCAGAGCAAGCTATGGAGGGAGGGGGTTACCTAAACCAGTTAATTATAAATGCTCCACTAAAGATTGAGCAAACTTCACTAGACGTCACCCTGGCACAAATGCAACCAGTCTTATCACGGCAGCTCCACTGGCTACTGATTCATTTCTGGTTGACTAGACGCCACCCTGGCACAAATGCAACCCCTCTATCACAGCAGCTCCACTGGCTACTGATTCATTTCTGGGCACAATTAAAAGTACTGATTCTAACCTATCAAGCTCTTCGATTCAAGCTATCTCATGGACAGTTCCACCAGCTGAGCTTGTTCAGCTGTTAAAATAATCATGAGTAGCCTTTCTCTAGGTCCCACCTCCTTCATAGGTACATTTGGTAGGGACTCCGGAGAGGACTTTCTCTGTTGCTGCTCCTGGACTTTGGAACTCCCTCCCACAGGAGGCCAGACTGGGCCCATCTTTGCTGTCCTTCCCCAAGCAGGCAAAGACCTTTCTCTTCAGGGAAGCCTTCCCTTAATGACTGGCTGCCTGAGGGAAGTTTTTAAATGGAGTGTTGCCTTACTGCTTTGAATGTGTTTTTGTTATTGCTTTTGTTAACCATTTTTAGTGTGGAACTTGTTTGATCCTTTTTATAGTTGCATACTGTTTAGCTTTAAATATTTTCTTTTAATGATGTAAGCCACTTTGGTTTTTTTTTCCCTAAGGAAAAAGGCATGGTGAAACTATTTTAAGCCCACCGGAGAAGACTTTGTCTGGAGGGCGGGGTATAAATTCAATAAAAGTTAAAAAAACTAAAAGTTAAGTATAGAAAGAAATAATTTTTTAAGATGTGGCTTTCAGGTTACTACAGTGTCTCTCTCAGATATGGAATGCCAACAGTAGCTCTCCTATGAAATGCCTCCAGGGAGATGATGGCTGGCTTCTGTTGTCCACTAGATACTGTGAAACATTTCAGCCCACAGGCAGTGACAGAAACAGAAGGAATGAAATGCAAGCCATTTCAAATGTTCAGTGCTGAACCACCTGCTCCCTTTCTTTCTGAAACCCTTTTGCTTTTCTTCTTCAGAAACCAAGGAGCAACTAATGAGAACCTAATCCTATCTGGTAGCTCAGCACCTCTCTTTTGCTTCCTGAGGAAAAGTAGTAAATGGCACCTCCTCACTCAAATAAAGATGTGCACCTTGTCCCCCAAACCAGTCAACTTCTTCTGAAAGAACAAATTCCAAATGGGGCACATGACTGGCTTTTTTTTCACAATCCTTCACATTAAATTCATTTCGTTTCCACTGCTTCTTGTGACAAATTACATTTTTATTAATTTTTTTGTCACAATAAAACTATCTGTGATGGTTTTCAATCTCAAATAAAACTTACTAAGTTCCCAGGTTTATTTTAAATGTCAAATTATGAACTAAATTCACGGACACAAGGGGGTTGGTTGGATGATGGTAAAGGAGAATTTTAGAGTTTATTTAAAAATTAAAAAGCGAATGTGATTGCAAAATGCTGGGGAATTACTTATTTAAATAATAAGGAAGTCAGGCATCTAGTTCTTGAGGTTATGCCAAACTGTATAGCTTTTCTGTCAGATTTCTGTGAGCAGAGATGTCAATATGCGATGCCCTGACGCAACACCCTGTCAAAGCTTTGCCACTCTGTCACAAAAGAGTGTTAAGAGCCCAGGGGTGTTATTTCCTTGGGAACTCAGTGGCAGGCTGTTTCTCAAGAAGGAGGACAACAGGAATTCTTTACTCCTTACCTAAGACCTCAATTAAGGCATCTCTGTGAAAAGAGAGGTCAGTGCATGAACACAGAGTGAAGTTTTGAATAAATAATCATTTGACCATTACTAAAGCAGGTTCACTTACAACCCATAGAGGTGCCCCCTGTTTCTAGCACCATTGCTCTCCCAGACATGGAGGGTGATGAGTTCCCAAACTTAGGTCCTCAATTGTTCTTGGACTACAACTCCCAAAACCCTGGCTGGCACAGGTAATAGTGAAGGCTTCTGGGAATTTTAGTCCAAGAATACATGAGGACCAAAGGTTGGAAACGACAGTACTGGTCTAAAGGATGGAGCCTCTGCTATCTATAGAAGCTCTCTGCATGGGTCATGATAGTGATTTTCCAAAGCCCCAATTCATGTTTAGAGCCCCCAAAGAGAACAGAGACTCTCCTATTCAAATCCGCCACCTACCATGTGTAGCAGAGTGCCAGCATTGGAAACAGAGGGAAGCAAGGCTTCAGCATCCCCTTCTATGTAGACCAAGTGCACCTGTTTTAATAATTATTGAATATGGCTACAAAGGAGGGGGAACCAGGGAACTGAATTTCTCAGACTACATTGCTCAAACTTCTCACCACCCTCAGACAGGAGGTAGACAGAAGTAGAGACTGTGGGAAATATCTCTGAAATCTTGCCAAACCAGTTTTCAATGTTCCATGGTAACGCTTATTTCCATTCACCACAAGTAAGAAAATCCAGAACAAATTATGCAAAGTAGTCAAAAGATATCACAGGTTGACTGTTTTTTCTTGCTGAAAAATCTGGACACCCATCTTCTTCCACTTCTTTTTCTACCAGAGATGGTATGTCATCATGGCTTTTCAGTTTATAGACACAGAAGCTCTAAACTGTGATGTTGTGCTGCATACTAACCAACTTTCCAGGTCCCTACAGGTAATGTGTTTTTCTCCTTCTTGCACTTATTTTCCCATTTACATCTATCTTGACTGATCAGCTGTAATAACCCATACCATTCATTTCTCATTACAAGTTGAAATATTCTAGCTTTCTGCTTTTTGTGTGCTCTATAATATCTTGGATTTTATTAATTCATCTTAGTGCTTCATCTACCATCCTAATCCTGGACGCCCATCCTCTACCCGGGTTGGTAACTTTCTGAATCCACAGTCTAATTCCACTAGTTTATCTTATTCCCTTCTGTTTATGCCATATATTTTTCTACACTACCTTTTAGGAAAATTCCCTGACAAGGTCCATAAACATTCCCCATTCTGCCCTCCTCTCCAAATGTTCTTCTCTGTTTTTTGGATTGCTTCAGAAAAATTTTCAGTACATGTGGGTAACATGACAGATTGAGTACAGAGCTTGCAATGTTACATTTTAAAAGGAACTTGTTGTGTCACTCATCACTTCTTCGCT